TGGAAGCCAAATTGAAATTTTCAGTTGAATTTCAGTTTTGGCTTTCATTTTTCTTGGGAAAGTGTTTGCCACTCAACATCATCTAGAAAATGACCCAGTGAGAATATGACATTACAAAATTAATTGGATGGGACAGTGAATTTAATTCAGTGGAGACTGCTCTAGCCCATGCATGAACTGAGGCTCTGACTATGGGCCAAGGAGCCAGGACTGTGCTAGGACTTTGTAACTCGCTGGGCAGAGAGGCACTAGGGAGGGCGCCGGGGTGGGGAAGTGCCATGGTGGGAGTGGGGTCCAGGTTTTTATTCTGGGGGACTGGGAGAAGGTGACATCATCAGGAAACTTGAGGAGTTGATGATGGGGGTGGGAAGGTAATGTTCTGTTTTATATAGCCCTGACTGGAGTTGGCTTCTAAAGGATGGATTTAGGAATCATAAAACCATGGTTCTAGAGCAGCAGGACACAGAGGTGATCTAATCTCATGTCCTTGCTTTATTTTATTTAAAAAACAATATGAAATCTATTATTTTAATACTAGAATTGCAAAAAGGAAAAGAAAAACTGGACCATAATCTTTCCCCTAAATAACCCCTCTTGATTTAAAGAGAAAAAAAGTAAATTGAAGTAATGCATGCACACAATTGTAACATCCAAACCATATAGAAAAGTGCAAAGAGAAATAGAGAAGTGGCCCTCCTCGGACCCTTCCCACCAGTCCCCAGTGTTCCCCTTATGTAGGTAATATGATAATGAAGACATTGGCTGCATACACAACTTTACCTTTCCTCTATTTTTATCATGGCATTTTCGAGATATATTAAATAAAAATATATGAAAATATCTTTCTAATGGCCCTACACATCTTAATCATCTTAGTGGTATTTAATTTAGAGCCCTGAAAGCCTTCCATGGCTGCCTGTGTCTGCTACATTCAGCCTCGCCCACAGCCTGGACCACAGCCTCCTCCTCTTCTTCTCTGCTGTGTCTCTGCCTCCCTCATGCTCTCTTCTGGTAGAGACTGGCCTTCTTTCTCTGCAGTGGTGGTTTCCATTGCTCCCCTGCCTGTCCTTCCTTCTTTCCTGACCCCCTGCTCTTGAATTGCAGGTCCCTTCTGCAAATCCTTGGGGATCCCAGAGTTGTCAAATCACCTCTCCTTCCCTAGGCAAGAAGCTCCACAAGGGAAGTAGTAGGCCTTTGGCGGGGCCCCGTGTCACTCCATCACACCTGTATCCTGAGTGCCCAGCATGAAGTCTACATGTGACAGGAATCAGTAAACCACTCATCTACTGTTATACGTTCTGTGATTTTGGGGTTCATTATAACTGTCAATTATACGAATCTGGAGCCATTTCTGGTCAATGTTATAAAAGAAAAATTATTCTTACTAAAAATAGCGAGGAAGCCTTTATTTGACACTATTGCAATAGGAGGAGATACTCGTGCAAGTGAGAAACTCAACTCCCAATACAACAGGAGCAAGTGGGGATTTATAGTCACCAGGCAAGGTGAGGGAAAGATGGAAAATTACTGAAAAGAACTTGATTAGATATCAGGGGTAGAGGAAGATGAGCTTGATTGGATATCAAGAATGGGAGGGTTCTTATTTTTTTTTAAAGATTTTATTTATTTATTTGAGACAGAATGAGAGAGAGAGAGCACATGAGAGGGGGGAGGGTCAGAGGGAGAAGCAGACTCCCTGCCGAGCAGGGAGCCTGATGCGGGACTCGATCCCGGGACTCCAGGATCATGACCTGAGCCAAAGGCAGTTGCTTAACCAACTGAGCCACCCAGGCGCCCAAGAATGGGAGGATTCTTGATAAACTGGCTTAGCAGGATTCTTTGCTAAAAATGGCAGGCCACGGATGAGGCCTAGTCAAGAAGAAGGCTCAAAGGAGCCTGAATCAAGTTTGATTAAGGAGGAAGTCACTATAACTGTCAGCTAAGAGAGCCACGTGATGACTGTGCCCTTTAGTATCTAATGTCGCCTCCTGATAAAGATAGGAGAGACCCTGGAGAATGGGAGATTGCACACGAAAAAGCTCTGTGCAGCCAAGAGCTGCCAGAGAATATCAGTTTGATCCATCTCCAAGATGAACTTGTATTGTTCTTATATTTTAAAACAGGAACGATCCAGTATTTACTCCACCCTTCCTCCCAGGAGAATCCCAAAGATGGATTCTGTTTCGAGAAAGACCTGTCAGATGTTTTTGCTCCTGGGCAGTGGATGCTACTGTTTTCCTCTGAGATACTGTTTCACGTGTTCCTAGTTACAGAGCTAACCAGGCTTACCTCAGTGCTATGACTTCAGCCATGGATATAACTGACTTCTCAGTCCCATGGGGCACTCCAAACTAATTTTGCCTCCCTGAGTATTCAGTGAGCCAGGGTGATCGCACATTTCCATGCCCTGCTCACTTCTGGGCCTTGCCTGTTGTCCTGAAGGATAGATGACCCTTGAACAACACAGGTTTGAACTACGCGGGTCCACTTACGCAAGGACTTTGTTACAGTACTCTAAATGTATTTCCTTTTCCTTATTATTTTCTTAATAACAGTTTCTTTCCTTTAGCTTACTTTATTGTAAGAATATAGTATATAATATGTATAACATGCAAAATATGCATTAATAGACTATTTATTGGTAAGGCTCTCGGTCAACAGTAGGCGATTAGTAGTTAAGTTTTTGGGAAGTCAGAAGTTATTGATGGATTCTCAGCTATGTGGGGAGTTGATGCCCCACCCCCTCATTGTTCAAGGGTCAACTGTAATTTAATAGAGTGTCTTTTCCTTCTCACAAGTATCCCCGTTTGGTCTCTGATGTTCTGTTGTCCCTCAGCTTGGCAACCTCCCCACCCCAGCACAGAAGCTAGCCCTAGACCTAGTATTACTGAGCTCCAGCAGACTGCCTTCACAGTGCCACAGTGCATTCCCCCTGCAGTGACTTGAACAGATGCCATCAATTTTTAGCAAGGCAGCTGGTTGTCAGGAAGATGCTCAAAGAAATCTGCACACGTGAAGAATGTTACTACATGCCACTTTCAGCTTTCTTGGTGGGAATGGATAAAAAATAGGGAGTGTGAAACAGATGAAGCTGAGCAGGATGTGGGATGGTAATGCTGACAGGAGGGTGTCGCCAGGGCACCAGGGGTCTGCAGTGGCCAGTATGCTCTATGCACTTGGAAATCATGTCAGGTGATGTAACTTCCAAAGCAGTGTCTATATTTGGATTTAAGACTCTTCATACAAAGTAGTGGCAGGACAAGAATTAGCTTTGTATTTTGCAAAGTGGGGGGTTGCTTGTGAAAAACCTAGTCCCTGGTTCTTATCTCAGCTCTTTCTACTGAATCATTCTATATAGGGGCTGGGGCTGGGGCTTGTTCAGAAATCTGAATTTTTAACAGCTTCTGGTGATTCTGATGGATTGTCTTGTTTGAGAACCACTGCCTTAGGAGAAGTAGACATTTTGGAGCAACTGTATGTTCTTATTAACTTGTGCATTTGGACTGTTGGTGGGAATACAAGTTGGTACAGCCACTTTGGAAAACAGTGTGGAGGTGCCTCAAAAATTTAAAAATAGAGCTACCCTATGACCCAGCAATTGCACTCCTGGGTATTTACCCCAAAGACACAGATGTAGTGAAAAGAAGGGCCATATGCACCCCAATGTTCCTAGCAGCAATGTCCGCAATAGCCAAACTGTGGAAAGAGCTGAGATGCCCTTCAACCGATGAATGGATAAAGAAGATGTGGTCCATTTATACAATGGAATATTACTCAGCCATCAGAAAGGATGAATACCCAACTTTTACATCAACATGGATGGGACTGGAGGAGATTATGCTAAGTGAAATAAGTCAAGCAGAGAAAGTCAATTATCATATGGTTTCACTTATTTGTGGAACATAAGGAATAGCATGGAGGACATTAAGAGAAGGAAGAGAAAAATGGTGGGGGGAATTGGAGGGAGAGATGAACCATGAGAGAATATGGACTCTGAGAAACAGGGTTTTAGAGGGGAGGGGGAGTGGGATTGGTTAGCCCGGTGATGGGTATTAAGGAGGGCATGTACTGCATGGAGCACTGGGTGTTATACGAAAATAATGGATCGTGGATCACCACATCAAAAACCAATGATGTATTGTATGGTGACTAACATAACATAATAAAATTAAAAAAAAAAAAACTTGTGCGTTTGGACAATTCATTCATTCATTTAGTAACTCTTTATTGACTAGTAATCATGAGCGAAGCCCTGGGCCAGGAGCTGGGTATACAGCAGTGAGTGACAGGATGTGTTTGCTGTCCAAAGAGCTTTCCATTCTAGCGGAGGAGACAGACCTTCACCTAGCAATACCCCTGTGACATATCACTACAAGGGGAGTACTGAGGACTGTGGATGCTGAAGCCAGTGTCTATCCCAGAGTCTGGGCTCAGGACAGGCCTCTCCAGGGTGTGAGTCAGCGCTAGGACCTGTAGGATGAAGAGAGTAGGAAAATAGCTGCTGGACATGGGAACAGTATGCACAAAGGCCTCAGCAAAGGGAGATTTGCTGGAGTTGTGAGATAAGTGGGGGATGTTCACATTGTTTTGAGAAAAGGAGGAGTCAAGGGGGAAGGGTAGGCAGGAGATTTGGAGGGCTGGAGGCCCTTGGGTTTGGAACTAGACTCTCAGAATGCCAAGGACCCCGGAAGGGCTTGCATGTAGATCTGTTGGGGGGAATTCTGGTCTTTAAAGGCCCACGAGCTGATGGACACCAACGTGTGGCCATTCACAGGCTATTTGATCAGGCTTCCTAGTGGCCATGGGCAGGCCAGAGCCCTGGAGACAAGGATGCCGGGTCATCTGTGCTAGCTATCTGGGAAGGTGCTGGGAAGTGGGTGTGGCAGGCAACAGGCCTGGGATGTGCTCCCACTGCTCTGGTGAGGGCCCGGCCTTTGTGTGCAAAACACTGTCAGCATCAGGTCTGTAACACTGACATCTGATCTGTGTCTCTCCCCTAGATCCTGCCTGGCCTATACATCGGCAACTTCAAAGGTGAGTTACCTTTTCTTATTAATGTGGTAAAATATGCATAATATAAAAGGTGCCACTTAGGCCATTTTTAAGTGTACACTTGAGGTGGCATTAAGTACACTGCTGTGCAGCCATCCATCTCTGGAACTCTTTCGTCATCCCAAACTGAAACTCTGTGCCCACTAGACACTAACTAGTCCCTCTCCCCCAGTGCCTAGAAAACACCATTCCACTTTCTGTTTCTGTGGATTTGACCGCTTTAGGTACTTCGCATGAGTGGAGTCTTTCATGCGGTGTTTGTCCTTTTGTGTCTGGCTTATTTCACTGATCATAATGTTGATTCATGTGGTAGTATGTCAGAATTTATTTCCTCTTTAAGACTATATGTATATATAGGCTATATGTATATATATTATTTTTATTTTTCCTTTCATCTGCTGATGGACATTTTGGGCTGCTTCCACCAAAGGTGGAATCAAGCATGATTGAGTGAAGGTATCGACTCAGTTTACACCAAGTCTGATCTGGACATGGCCACCACTTTTGTCCAGGCCCCTTGCTGGGCCCTCATACTTGTGAGGGCCCAGCAATGGATATGTGCATACTTAATAGGATGCAGTATACTTAGGAAACTTGCAAGGCTGCAAGGCTGGAGAGAGCCAACCGTCCTCATAGGCATCTGAAATTCCTCCCTCCTAGAACAAGCGAGAACACATTCCTGTCTGTTTACAGCTTGCGCCTTAAATTTGAGTTCAGGTTCAAATTGACTGTAAAAAAAATCTTTTTTTTCCCCAATATATTTTACTTTATTTTTATTTTATTTTATTTTATTTTGTTATGTTAATCACCATACATCACATCATTAGTTCTGATGTAGTGTTCCATGATTCATTCATTCATTCATTTGTTTGTGTATAACACCCAGTGCTCCATTCAGTACATGCCCTCTTTAATACCCATCACCAGGCTAACCCATCCCCCCACCCCCTCCCCTCTAGAACCCTCAGTTTGTTTCTCAGAGTCCATAGTCTCTCATGGTTCATCTCCCCATCTGATTTACCCCCCTTCATGTTTCCCTTCCTACTATCTTCTTTTTTTTAACATATAATGTATTATTTGTTTCAGAGGTACAAGTCTGTGATTCAGCAGTCTTACACAATTCACAGCAATCACCATAGCACACACCCTCTCCAATGTCCATCACCCAGCCACCCCATCCCTCCCACCCCCCCACCACTCCAGCAACCCTCAGTTTGTTTCCTGAGATTAAGAATTCCTCATATGAGTGAGATCATATGATACATATCTTTCTCTGATTGACTTATTTCGCTGAGCATAATACCCTCCAGTTCCATCCATGTCATTGCAAATGGCAAGATCTCATTCCTTTTGATGGCTGCATAATATTCCATTGTATGTATATACCACATCTTCTTTATCCATTCATCTGCCGATGGACATCTTGGTTCTTTCCATAGTTTGGCTACTGTGGATATTGCTGCTATAAACATCGGGGTACACGTACCGCTTAGGATCACTACATTTGTATCTTTGGGGTAAATACCCAGTACTGCAATTGCTGGGTCGTAAGGTAGCTCTATTTTCAACTTTTTGAGGAACCTCCATACTGTTTTCTAGAGTGGCTGCACCAGCTTGCATTCCCACCAACAGTGTAAGAGGGTTTCCCTTTCTCCACATCCTCGCCAACATCTGCCGTTTCCTTACTTAATTTTAGCCATTATGACTGATGTGTGGTGGTATCTCATTGAGGTTGATTTGGATTTCCCTGATGCCGAGCAATGTTGAGCACTTTTTCATGTGTCTGTTGGCCATTTGGATGTCTTCTTTGCAGAAATGTCTGTTCATGTCTTCTGCCCATTTCTTGATTGGATCATTTATTTTTTGGGTGTTGAGTTTGATAAGTTCTTTATAGATTTTGGATACTAGCCCATTATCTGATATGTCATTTGCAAATATCTTCTCCCATTCTGTCGGTTGTCTTTTGGTTTTGTTGACTGTTTCTTTTGTTGTGCAAAAGGTTTTATCTTGATGAAGTTCCAATAGTTCATTTTTGCCCTTGCTTCCCTTGCCTTTGGTGATGTTTCTAGGAAGAAGTTGCTGTGGCTGAGGTCGAAGACCTTGCTGCCTGTGTTCTCCTTTAGGATTTTGATGGACTCCTGTCTCACATTGAGGTCTTTCAACCATTTGGAATCTATTTTTGTGTGTGGTGTAAGGAAATGGTCCAGTTTCATTCTTCTGCATGTGGCTGTCCAATTTTCCCAACACCATTTGTTGAAGAGACTGTCTTTTTTCCATTGGACATTTTTTCCTGCTTTGTCAAAGATCAGTTGACCATAGAGTTGAGGGTCCATTTCTGGGCTCTCTATTCTGTTCCATTGATCTCTGTGTCTGTTTTTGTGCCAGTACCATGCTGTCTTGATGATGACAGCTTTGTAATAGAGCTGGAAGTCCGGAATTGGGATGCTGCCAGCTTTGCCCTTCTTTTTCAACATTCCTCTGGCTATGCGGGGTCTTTTCTGGTTCCATAAAATTTTAGGATGATTTGTTCCATTTCTTTGAAAAATGTGGATGGTATTTTGATGGGGATTGCATTGAATGTGTAGATTGCTCTAGGTAGCATTGACATCTTCACAATATTTGTTCTTCCAATCCATGAGCATGGAACGTTTTTCCATTTCTTTGTGTCTTCCTCAATTTCTTTCATGAGTATTTTATAGTTTTCTGAGTAGAGATTCTTTGTCTCTTTGGTTGGATTTATTCCTAGGTATCTTATGGTTTTGGGTGCAATTGTAAATGGGATCGACTCCTTAATTTCTCTTTCTTCTGTCTTGTTGTTGCTGTATAGGAATGCCACTGATTTCTGTGCATTGATTTTATATCCTGCCACTTTACTGAATTCCTGTATGAGTTCTATCAGTTTTGGGGTGGAGTCTTTTGGGTTTTCCACATAAAGTATCATATCATCTGCAAAGAGTGAGAGTTTGACTTCTTCTTTGCTGATTTGGATGCCTTTGATTTCTTTTTGTTGTCTGATTGCTGTGGCTAGGACTTCTAATAGTATGTTGAATAGCAGTGGTGATAGTGGACATCCCTGCCATGTTCCTGACCTTAGGGGGAAAGCTCTCAGTTTTTCCCCATTGAGAATGATATTTGCTGTGGGTTTTTCATAGATGGCTTTTATGATATTGAGGTATGTATCCTTTATGCGTATACTCTGAAGAGTTTTGATCAAGAAAGGATGCTGTACTTTGTCAAATGCTTTTTCTGCATCTAACGAGAGGATCATATGATTCTTCTTCTTTCTTTTGTTAATGTATTGTATCACGTTGATTGATTTGCAGTTGTTGAACCAACCTTACAGCCCAGGGATAAATCCCACTTGGTCGTGGTGAATAATCCTTTTAATGTGCTGTTGGATCCTATTGGCTAGTATTTTGGTGAGAATTTTTGCATCCATGTTCATCAAGGATATTGGTCTGTAATTCTCCTTTTTGATGGGGTCTTTGTCTGGTTTTGGGATCAAGGTAATGGTGGCCACATAAAACGAGTTTGGAAGTTTTCCTTCCAGTTTTATTTTTCGGAACAGTTTCAGAAAAATAGGTATTAATTCTTTTTTAATTGTTTGGTAGAATTCCCCTGGGAAGCCATCTGGCCCTGGGCTCTTGTTTTTTGGGAGATTTTTGATTACTGCTTCAATTTCCTTAGTGGTTATAGGTCTGTTGAGGTTTTCTGTTTCTTCCTGGTTCAGTTTTGGTAGTTGATACATCTCTAGGAACGCATCCATTTCTTCCAGATTATCTAATTTGCTGGCATAGAGTTGCTCATAATATGTTTTTATAATTGTTTGTATTTCTTTGGCATTGGTTGTGATCTCTCCTCTTTCATTCATGATTTTATTTATTTGGGTCATTTCTGTTTTCTTTTTGATAAGTCTGGCCAGGGGTTTATCAATCTTATTAATTCTTTCAAAGAACCAGCTCCTAGTTTCGTTGATCTATTCTACCCTTCTTTTGGTTCTATTTCTTTGATTTCTGCTCTGATCTTTATTATTTCTCTTCTCCTGCTGGATGTAGGCTTTATTTGCTGTTCTTTCTCCAGCTCTTTTACGTGTAAGGTTAGGTTGTGTACTTGAGACCTTTCTTGTTTCTTGAGAAAAGCTTGTATTGCTCTATACTTTCCTCTTAGGACTGCCTTTGCTGCATCCCAAAGATTTTGAACAGTTGTGTTTTCTTTTTCATTTGTCTCCCTGGATTTTTTAAATTCTTCTTTAATTTCCTGGTTGACCCATTCATTCTTTAGTAGGATGCTCTTTAGCCTCCATGTATTTGAGTTCTTTCCGACTTTCCTCTTGTGATTGAGTTCTAGTTTCAAAGCATTGTGATCCAAAAATACACAGGGAATGATCCCAATCTTTTGGTATCAGCTGAGACCTGATTTGTGACCTAGGATGTGGTCGATTCTGGAAAATGTTCCATGGGCGCTAGGGAAGAATGTGTTTTTTGTTGCTTTTGGATGGAATGTTCTGAATATATCTGTGAAGTCCATTTGGTCCAGTGTGTCATTTAAAGTCTTTATTTCCTTGTTGATCTTTTGCTTAGATGATCTGTCCATTTCAGTAAGTGGGGTGTTAAAGTCCCCTACTATTATTGTATTGTTGTCAATGTGTTTCTTTGTTTTTGTTATTAATTGGCTTATATAATTGGCGGCTCCCATGTTAGGGGCATAGATATTTACAATTGTTAGATCTTCTTGTTGGATAGACCCTTTAAGTAGGATATAGCGTCCTTCCTCATCTCTTATTACAGTCTTTGGTTTAAAATCTAATTTGTCTGATATAAGGATTGCTACCCCAGCTTTCTTTTGGTGTCCATTAGCATGGTAAGTGGTTTTCCACCCCCTCATTTTCAATCTGGGGGTGTCTTTGGGTCTAAAATGAGTCTCTTGCAGATAGCATATCGATGGGTCTTGTTTTTTTTATCCAATCTGTTAGCCTGTGTCTT